GGATAAAGCTAGAGTGCAGTCAGCAATCCTTGTCTTCCTTTCAAGATCAACTTTCAACATTTGACCATTAAATGTTAGCATTTACCATTAGAAGCCTCAGCTGGCTTTTTTCCTTAGGGATACAGTAAGCAGAAGTGAATTTAGGGCAAGGTGTCCATCACTCATGTCGACAGATGCGTGTACTTGTGCATCTTCTTCCTTCTGGCGGGTCGGCACCACCAGCGTGCAGCAGTCCCCGCTGCCTGGATGGGGCCAGAAAGTGCCCCCACACGCAGCCCCCCGGCCCGTTTCCACGAGCTCTCAGCTGGCCTCCTTTGATGTTCCTTCTTGCTTTCATGTCGGGGTACATGTAACATGTAAACAAGGCCGTGGCTGGCGTGGCTATTTCCTTAACTTCATAAAAATGGAGCAGACTGTAAACAGGCTTTTGTAACCAGCTTTTGTTTACTCCACGTTTTATTTGGGAGTTTCATCTGTGCTGATGTCCTTTTCCGGGGGGAGGGAGGAAGCTCACACTTGTTAAGCCTGTTGAAGGCTTTGGTCTGATTTGGTTGTTGCTTCCCGCTGACTGCCACACAGAGCACCCAGGGGTGCAGAGTGACGTGTGCAGTCCTGCCGCTCCAGGAGCCGTGATGTACCTAAGATATTGTTAGCTCACTTTTTCATGGTGGCGGGTTCCATCTGGTAGGTTTAATACTGTTTTGACCTGTAATTTTCTGTTCCTTAAAGGCACTGCACACCTGTGTCCCAAGCAAAACCTGACTCCTCTCAAGTCCCCAGATGCAGGCCTTCCTCCATCCTCTGGTCACTGTTTCTCTCTTGTCCTGATCTAAGAGCCTTCTAGATTGTGAACTCTAGTGAACACTGGTTTACTGAACTCTTTACTTGTACTACAAGTAACTTCTCCCAATTTTTAGTGTTTCTTTTCTGTCTTTGCAAGGTATTTTTTGATGAACAGCATTCTCTAATGAAATCCAATCCAGTCCTAGTTTCCTCCATATTTGTGCTTTTCCTGACAAGGAAATCCTTCCCCATAAGGGATGTCTGTGACCAGTGTGCCTGTCCCTGCCCCTGTATGTTCTGCTGCTCCTCACAGATATGATAAGCCTGATAGCACAAACAGAAAATTCCAATCCTGTTCTCATTCTTTAAGAGTATCTTGGCTCCTCTCGGCCTCGTTTTCCATATCCCTTTAAAAACTATCTTGTTGAGGCCCTCTCTGGTGGCGCAGCAGGTTAAGGCACAGCACTAAGAAGCTAACGCCACTTCCAAATGAGTTCAATCCCTGCCTGCCCCGGAGGTGACCACATGGCGTGGCAGACCTCTCCTGACCCGCCCGCTGCTCCCCTCAGCAGTGTACTTTGTCGATCTGCCTGTTCTGATCCCCGCTCTGTCTCTGGTGAATCCTCTCACCCTCCGCATCTCTGGCCTGTACCCCAGTTCTGTAAGCAAAAATAAATAAATCTTAAAAAAAAAAAAATCTTGTTGAGAGGATAAAAAAGGTAAATTTTGGGATGTCCACCAAAATTGTACTGAATCTCAGATCAATATGAAGCAACTGTTATCACTGTGAGTTCTCCATATCAAAATCAGAGGCTCTTGCCCCATTTGCTTGTCCTTTTAAATATCTTTCAGTGAAATTTTCTCTTTTCCTTCATAAAGTATTTATACAACTTTTGTCAAATTTACTGTAAGAACAGGTACATTTAAAATACTGTTTACTGTTATTGTTTTAAAAATTGATTTTGTATGCTATTTTTATATCCAGGATTCTAGCTAAACTTTTAACTGAAACTCACCCTAATTATTTATGTTTATAGTTCTAAGACAAACTTGTAGAAATTTTTTTATTTCTGTGATCCTATTACTTGCAAATGACAGCTGCTTAATTCCATCCAGTTCATCTACATTTCCTATCGCACTGCACTGGATGGGAACACCAGGCCCAGGATAAAGCTAGAGTGCAGTCAGCAATCCTTGTCTTCCTTTCAAGATCAACTTTCAACATTTGACCATTAAATGTTAGCATTTACCATTAGAAGCTTTACTCATTTGCAAAGACCTTTCTCAGATTGTGGAAGTTCTCCATTAGTCCAAATTTGCTAAGACCTTGGCAATAAATGACCGATGAATCTTCTCAACCTGTTTCGAGACCTCTATGGAGATGATCATGATTTTCCGCTTATACCCTGTTAATATGCTACATGGGAACATTTTCAAATGCCCTGGCCCCTCACAAACAAGGTTTTTTATGATGCACAATATCACATTCATATCCTTCTCATTCTGGCTCTGCAAGAGTTTCTTTGCATAGGGCTTTTACGTCCATGTCCTTCAGTGGGTCTAACTGGCTGACCTGTCTGTCCTCTCACTGCATGTCTTGTCTGATTTTGGTGTAAAGGTTACGTTAGCCTCACAAAGTGAGTAGGAATATGTCTATCTTCTTATCCTTTGAAGAGACTGGTACAAAAGTGAAGTTGCTCATTAAATGGTGTTAGAATTTGCAAACCTTAGTGAATTTGGGAAGTGAGGGGATTTTAAAATGTTGTCTCCATTTCCCTAGATACTGTAGAACTACCTCTATTAACAGAGCTTAATTGCTCCTCATTCAGCTTTCATATTTTTCAGCAGAGAACTAAATCTGGGCAATATCTATAGCTACACTGTTTCATTCCTAACACTGTCCATACCTTTCCTCTTCAGTTAAATTAACTAAAAATTTAACTTACTAAAGGTTTATTCTTTTATTCTTTTCAATGAATCAGGGAATATCTTGTGGATACTATTTCATTTGTGCACTAATAAACAAATTCCTGGCCCCTACTTTTACATTCCTCCAACAACGTGAGTTTGAACTGCACAGGCCCACCTGCATGTGGACTGTTTTCTCACCATCGGTCTGCAAGCTCCAGATGTCAACTGACTGAATGCAGGGATGCAGAATCAACAGACGTTAAGAGTAGCTCTAAGTTCAACTCACATTTCTGACTGCAGGAATCGGCATCTCTAATCCGAGAGCTGGTCATGGGTTAACTGTAATGCTAATCCAACCTCTAACCACTCATGTTACCGCATTAATTCTCTATCTTTCTTCTTCACAAAGGTAAACATATAAAGCCATAAATTTCCCTCTTACTATTGCTTCAATTGTCCCACTAATTCTGATAGGAATTATTTACATTATTTGTTTCTAAATATCTCTTATTTTCACTTTCTTTTCAAGATTGATTGATTTATGCATACATGAACTGGGGCACAGGCCATAGATGCAGGGGTGAGAGGATTCACCAGAGAGTGGGGAGTACAGTAGGTGGAACGGTTGAAATACACTGCTGAGAGGAGCAGCAAGTGAGACAGGAGAGGTCTGCCACGCCATGTGTGTCACCACTCTGGTCAGAGAGCAGTGGCTGCAGTAGCTTCATAGTGCTGAAACTTAACTCCTTGTGTCACCAGGGAGGCCCCTTATGATTTTCATTTTCTTTTTGACACATGAATCTAGAATGCTTTAAAATGTCAAGAGTATGGACTTTAGCGAACTATCTTTCACTTACTAACTTTTAACTTGAATATATTATGGTCAGAAAATGTATTCTATGTGATCCCAATTTTCTGCAATTGTTTAGGCTAGTTTTTTTTTTTTTTCAAGTATATAATCAAATTTTCTTCAGCCCTGCATGTGACTGAAAACAATGTATATTCTCCACCAGCCAGGAGTCATGAATTCATGCACTTACAAATTGTACTAGTCATGACTATTTTTCTTATATTTTTATTGCTTTAAAAATATCCTGCCACATTACTTCCCATTTCTGATGCTCTCGGCTCTTTTCTGGAGATCAAGTGTTCAAGTGTTTCCATCTGTTTGTCTTCTTATCTGCCTGAAGAACTTCCCTTGGAGTTTCTTGTGGGGCAGACATGTTAGCAATAAATTCTCTTAACTTTCCATTACCTGGGGATGCCATTATTTACCTCATTTTTGGAAGAATACCTTTACTGAATATAGAACTCTGGGTAGGTGACAGTTTCTTCTTGTTTCAAACCTTAACACATCTTTATTTCACCAAAATTCTTAGAGAGTTTCACTAGGATTGGAGCCTGGTCCACTGGGTTCTTTCATGGCCTGAGGTGTTATTCGGCTGGCCTCCGGCTCACCCTCACTGTTGT